CTTCCTTCTCCGTTTGCTAGTTTTACACCACTGCCACCAGCCTCCAGAGGATTCAACCTGTCCCCTGTCTTCAGTGGTCTGTCCTTGCTGAAGATGCATCACGTTTAATCTAAAGCCTCTCTTTGCTGCTAACCTCAATAAATACAGTTATGCATGCTCTATCGATTTCTGCTTATTGAAATAGATTCAAGAACTAGGTACACCCCCTTTACTTAACATCTTAGGTTGCTGGGTGCGTATTAAGGAGTTTGCATGCAGCTAATATATATATAAAGGGAATAAAGTGTGATGTTACTATACAGAGCTGTTTGTTATTGAGCTGCAACATATCGTTCAAACACAGCAACCTCCAAAACTAAGCTGAATAAGGGCCTCATGAAATCAGTTTCAACAAAAACTCAACATTATAACCTTCAAGTTTAGGTCAGGACTGTTGTTTTTCCATCTACAGATATTAGTTTTACTCCAGAGTAGCAAATAAACTGGAGAGCCATTCATTTGAACTGTTCGTACAACTCTGGTACTGACTGTCCTCAAGAAATTCACAGGTCACAGTCCAGTTTCTAAACCACCATGCTGACACTGTGCATTTGTCTCCATTATATTCAGTTTCTAGGTTGTCAGTCAGTTTGAATTTTTCTCACATATCTTCCTAAACGACTCGTAGGCTTACAACATGCTTAGACTCGCAGGATGCACCTGTCCTTCAAGCAAGATCCTGAAAACCTCAACTTGTTTTTTTTACAGTTCTGCAATAACATGTTTTAAATGGTGAAGCACAGAGAAGGAAATCTAAAATATTCACGATCTAATTGTGCATCTGCCGTAAGTGAAAAAATGCAAAACTTGCCTCTGAGAAAAAAAAAAATGGCACTTGCAAAGTACAAGCAGCTTGCAGCACTTATTGTGTTTGCACTCCTTTCTGCCAAAAAAGGAAATAAAGAGCATGGCTGGATGCCAAAATTAGAAGAGGGTGGCTGAGGAGGTGCAGGCAGCAGCATGGGTTAACTGTTTTTCTGTCTGTAAGCTACGAACTCATGATGATGATGATATTGTTTCTTGTAGTCGTTCCCACTTCCTCTGCCTGGCTGGCCGAACGGCTCTGCACGTAGCTCACGGTTTTAGACAAACTGACAAAATTGTTTGACAATCTGCAGACTCTGACCTGCAAAAACCAGCTACGACAGCAACAACGCGTCCTGCTTCAAGTCGCTCCTGACCGCATCGTTTTGGTCTCAGGAACTTGGAAAAAAAAAAAAAGAGCAGAGACAGAAATTGCTCGGCGTGGACAGCTGGATAACGCATATCCAGTCATGACATAACTTCCTTGAAAGCACAACGGTATGTTTTCCTTGTACAGATCAGTGTCCTCGTCCTTATCGCCTCTGAAGTTCCCACCCCACCTATCTCTCTGGCCCACGCACTGCTTCGGACTGAATACTGATGCCTCATAGCAGGACTGTGAGAAAAAAAATAAATAAAAATACAGCACGTATAGACCAGCGAATAACGGCATTGTTTAGGAAAAGAACAACAACTGCTTTCCAATAAAACGCAGCAAAAGCAGTTAAGGCATTATGAGGCTTCATGAAGCATTTGATTGGTCGTAAAGGTGCAAATATTCTCCAATGAGCCAAACGCCCACACAACTAATTGGAAGGAGAAGTGGGCACGGATGGAGATGCAAATTCAACGCGAGTTTGCAACATGACAACACAGCGAATACCGACTTTTAGATTAACTTCACATCTAATGGAGACAACTTAAACCAGCAAGTTATAGTATCCAAAGACTTGTGCATTTGTTCATGCAAATACATCTTGCGGTTGTTAGAGCTTGTTAGAAGTGAGCTGATGAGTTTTTCTTTGCATCTCAAACAAAACATACTATGTGTGTCCCTCGGTTGAACACACTTCCTCCCATCTAAAACATCTGCTTGTTTTTAAAGGTTTTGAAACCGGTGTTGATTACATCACCTTCTTATCTTTTCTCACTGCATTGCACTTTCTGCAACACATCGACGCCGCTAACTAACTCCCTCCGCAGATAACAATCTTCGCACTTGCTCTTACTTTGCATTTCTGTCCTCATCTGGGTGCCGCGACCGCGCCGTGTGCAAACCGCGCCTGACGCACGGCGACAGCAGTTAATTCTGCCCACAACCACTTCTCGTTTGTTGCCGTTCATCCCCAGGGAAACCGAACGCGTTGTGAAACACTGGAGACAAACTGCAGTAACTCCGGCGAAAACGTGAGGATTCTGCAGAAAACTGATTTTTGCAGTTGCATCATTTTGGACGCCGTGGAAAAGTGCTTACGTGAATGGAGGGGTATCGTTAAAATATGTGGACATGAGGCAGAAAACATGCTGAGAGACGATATCCAAAGACGAGGTTGTTTGCAGGATGTAAAAGAAAGACCACAACAGGAAGCGAGAGCAAAATCTAAGTCCTTAAAGTCACATGAGATGCTGGCGGTTTGTTCTAGTATCACTATGTGCTCATCATCCGAATCGTCTCGTCGAGGCTCGGAAGGCCTTCGGTCACAGGACTTGAATGAACTGCATTAGTAGTTTTATGTGTGATGTGATCTAAGCAGAACGGCTCTGTGACTGTGAGAACAGGCTTCAGCTTCCTTGATGCTAATGCTTGACATTCCACCGAGCTTCACGGTCAGTTTGGTGTCTGTTTTATGTTTGCGACGGCGTCAATGAGTCGTCCTGCACGGAAACACATAAAGCTCAATATGCAGTCTCTGCAAACACTGCATCATTCACTCATAATACTTCTTCTTTTTTTAAAAAGTTTTATTTGACCATGACATACGCTGGTTCTCGTGGAGCTCAATGCGTTGCGCTATATAAGACTTCATAATAACACCGTGACACTGTTTAAATGGCACACTGCTGCAAAGCAAAAGGGGAAAAATCTAAGTCATTAGCACACGTCTGGCTAGCGCAGACTGAGTTCCTGTGTTATTGCTCTCTTAACTTTACTATGGATTACATAATAAATGTGCGCACCATATGGTTGGCAAGGCGATCCCGAACGCTCACTCCTCCAGCTGTGGTGTTGTTTTTCCATCCAAGTTGAAACCACCACTCCACAAACCAACACAAATCCTCAGGTGCCCCAACACACACACACACACACACACACACACATGATGGCACAACTTTCCACTTTTCTATTGGCAGCTTGTCGTTCCGACGTGGGAAACAACAACATTTAAGAATTTCCATGTGTTAATCTCCTCGTAAGACTCGCTCGAGGCGGCTGATGTAAATCAATGTTTGCGAACGGCTAGTTGCCGAAGCTCGAGGCTGCGCGGCCGACATCACCGAAGAGTGATGTCATCAAAAGCTTAAGCGGTTGCGGATGACGGCGAGCGCGAGGTCGGCTTTACGAGACAGTTTTACGCTTGTTTACAAGTGCATTAGGCCAAATGCAGCGAACGCAAAGATAACATTTGGGCGAAAAACTGAACCATTTTGCCCAAATTCTGGTTGTTTACTGGTAGCAATTCTCAGTAAACAGGGAAGTGACAAATGAAAAAATAAGGAGCAAAAGTCAAATTTTGTTGTCAGCAGTAGCAGCGTAGCCTTGCGTAACTGCAGGACAAATTTCACTTCACTCATTGCAGTGATGTGGGGAGACTCAATCAGCAATGATTTGGTGTGGATGACAAGGGATTTACAGGAAACTGAAATGTCAATAAGCTGAACCTGACTGATGAAGCGTCTCTCAGCTTTCAACAGGCTGTACGTCGAGGTTTAGGACTAGAAAAACCACGGCAGCTGCTATTGAAGTTCAACCGTCAACACCAAGCCCTGGTAAGGTTGTTGGTCACCAATAGACAGAAGAAGTGTCATGAAGTGTCAAGCTTGCACGTGAGATTTGAGCTGCATTTGCAAAATCATCAAGTTCACCAGTGATTCATGTCAAAGTTCAGCTTTTTGTACAGTTTTTTTTCTCTCAAAACAACTCTTCAGAATCAGAAACACCAGCCTAGATTAGTTTCTCACAATTTTAGCAACAGGTAACAAAAACTAAAGGTTGCAACACATCATAAGTCAATCCTAAAGTGTCGTCCAAGTATGTGAGAGCAGTTTTGCAGTGGATTACTAATCTGCTCTCTCGTGCGTCGTAAAGGGAGGAAAAAAACATATGGGTGTTTCTCTTCCTATTCGGCACATGACATTAAATACTTCAGATGATGTTTGGAGTCTGAGGCTTGTTTTGCAGGGAGGAGGCCACAAACCTGCGAGCAAACCCTTGCAGGAAAAAACACACATGGGTGGAAGCGCTGGGACAGACGCACGCCTTATCCTAAGAGACAGTTTGGTCTTTGACAGGTGGGCGGCGGGGCTACATCAAGACTTAAAAGCTCACTTTTAAAGGAGGAAAAAAATCACTAATGGCATTTACTCTACACATCCATCAGCGCGCACAAACACAGCTCGTGACAGATCAGCTCCATTTCCTTCCTCGTACAGTGTGGTTACTTGTTTTGAAATTTTATACCACAAACCTACTTTCAAGCCAAATACCAGCCTACATATGTAAAAGAGGTAAACTCCCGCTGCTAATTCTGTATGTGAGTGCCAATAACAGAACAAACTGCCTCCATAGGGGGGAAAAAAAAGAGTTGAAAATTACATCATGCGGCAGAACAAACTACACACAATGTCACAGTTATGAGCATCATAATGAACCCCAACTACATAATGATCCATAAGTCTCCTCACACCATGTCAGCAGTGTTGTTTGTTCAAAGGTTGCACAAATAAGCCCCTCCAGCAGCAGCAGCAGCAGCATCACAATAATAACAGAGCATTAGAAAATGCTGTAAAGTCACTCACTGAGCTCCTATGATGTAATGCTTTAATTTGCACCACACCACGGCTACACACACACACAAAAAAACCCCACATTAAATGGTAAAAACATCTGGCTTAAAAGTACAGGCTGCAACACAGAACTACACTCAGAGAGTTGCTACCTCCATCCTGGGAAATGTGCCAGAGATCGTCCCCTCCTGTCTCCTTTTTTTTTCTTTTTTTTCTTCCTCTCTCTCCTTTTCGGCCTCTTGGAGCAAACTGCTGCCTGCTGCCTGGGAGCAAAAGTGAGAAGCGGAGACTGAGAGAAGCTCTGTGTTTATATCTGGAGCCAAATCAGCCTCATGGACGCGGGGGAGGAGCCCACAACTTTTACGCGCATTTGGCTCCGTGTGCGCCGTCAAGTGGGCCACGATGGAAAATAGCAGTTCTCCTCAAGACTTTAAAAATAAACTGGTGGAGCTGGATGGACGCTTCATTCATCCTCATGGGGAAACTAAAGGTATCCGGAAGCTCCCACACCTCACATGTGAGGGAAAAAAAATAAGGTGCAAATTGTTCTGTAGGGAAACCAAGTCAAGGTGCAAAAAAATAAAAACAAACAAACAAACAAACAAAAAAACAACAACAACAACAAATGATGCCAATAGAATAATAATTTTAAAATGATTTAAAAAATAATTTTAACCCCCCCCCCAAAAAAAAACAACTGTATAATTACAGCAGGTGAAAAGTAAAAAGTGAAAATATAAATAAATAAAAAAAAATAGCCACAAACGAACAATAATAATAATAATAACAATAGTAATAATATTAATAATAATAATAGTAATAATAGAAAAATAGTGATAAAAATTAGCTTAAATAAAAATGTAAAAAAAATAAAAAATTAAAAGGCAGAGAGGGAAAAATTAAGGGAGTACTTACAACTAACTTTTATTTTTATTTTTATTTTTCCCCGTTGGTTGACAGATTTAGCAGCTGCACACTTAAATTCGAAATTTAATGGCATTTTAGCCACACGATAAATATAGTGACAGTAAACACATTTTTATTTATTTATTTTTTAAAATCAGAAAATTGTATATTTTTGCAAGTTCTCGTCAGAAAAGCTAAATTTGAGGATGCTGACAGTGGATAAACAAAGCAATGTTGTTGCCTAAATCCAATCTTTTCCAAAACTAATGAATTTACTGATGAATTTTCTGCTTTCTATGAAGCAAAACTTTCAAGCAGTCAACTATCACCACCTCTTCTGTGTGATAGAAAACCCCCCGCTACGTCTGCTCCCTTCAAAACCTTCAGTGTACCTTCACTTATACATCTATATTACAGCAGGGCATCTCCTCCATGCTTATAAATATGCAAAGCTTTTATTTTGAAGGCACCGTTTTCTCACATCTGTTATTTTTCTGTCTTCCTCTGACTTGACTGAGCTGTGAGAGGTGGCTCATCAGCTACAGTGTGAATAATTGTTCACCTATTGGTGCTGAGTTTAGCTGCTGTGCTGGTTCTGCACAGTTTTATTCTGACTTAATTATATTTATACATATGAAGTGAAACATATAAAGACATCATCTACATTGTGGGTATCTAGTTTGAACACATGTAGCTTTCACTCCCACCTGCAACTACTTCATCTTGTGCAACAGCATTGGCAGAATGTTCTTCCACCGTAACACATCTCTCATGCTGTTTGTTCCTTTCCCAGTGCACTGAATCCTGCATGTTCTTTTCTGGCTCTCCTCTGATGCAAGTCCAGGATACTCACAGCTGGCAAGCATGTAAACTACCTCATAGCCGATTTCCAGGCCGTTTTTCTCGTTTTGAAGATCTGGGAGATCCTGCCTGAAGCCAGGAGGAAGGAGAGGCTTTAAGTTTGTGGTGTGGAAATGCAGCAAACCCCCTCGAACGGCCAATAACACACCACAGAGCTGCAGGGGAAGCAGTTTGTCCTGCTGCTATATTGACCACACCACATTCCTCACATTATCTTAATGCCACAATCATGGCGGACGAAAATAACCCCACCGCTTAATCTGTGCACGTGAAAAATATGTTTTGGTCATCATCGGAGGCGGAAATGTCCATTCTGTAGCACATAAGTGGGTTTGTTCAGCTGTCAAGTAGCCAAAAGCAACATGTGATTAGGTTTAAAATGGACAGATGTGGAGAATTTCGAGCTGACCGACTGTTAAACACTTTTGGAGAACACTTCCACAGATACCAGGGAGATATAAATTGGCCTACAAATTGCAGGAAAGTGCTGATTTGGAGCAGGGAAGAGGCTATTGACTCTTCCGCGTGGCTCATTAAACAACGGAAGCTGTGCACTGGAAGCCTTAGAAGACGAGGTGATTAGTGATTTATAAATGAAGCTTATTATCGTTATCGCCGCCGTTAAAAGCGCCGTGGGAGGGCTTGTGTTTGTGTTTGCTGTGTCTCACTGTCACCCAGCTGCGACAACAAGCGTGCACTGGCAGCCGTCTGCCTCCCGACTGGCAGACAAACTGCAAATGAGTGAAATTACACAAAACCATTTCAGGCCTTTTTATGTCAGCACAAGACAAATTAACTTCCAGATTCTGTAGGTGGTCACCAGATTCTCCCGGGCTCTCCATTATAGCAGCTGTCAGAGTGAACATTTGCAGTTACAGATGAGCGACCTGGAAGTCGGCTTGGGGTCGGGGAGAGCTCTCGGTTTGGGGGAAGAAATGGCACCAGAGGCCGCAAGGAGAGCAGCTTGACTACAAAGGAAAGCAGCAGGACAGACAGTGAAGCCCTGCAGACTTTGTAGACGGAGCAGAAAGCTTCACCTAAATAACCTCCATTTCAGCACAGCTTCCTGTGGCACTGTAGTGGACGCAAGGAGCCAGGCAGGAAGCAAATATGTGCTGCTGATAATTTGTGGAAATGGGCTGAAAGGGGGAAGCTGATAATGATTTCTGAGAGGGAAAGGAGAAAAGCTTTTTATCTCGATAAGCAGTGTTTATGCGGTTTAAAAGCAAAGTCTGACCAATCTGAATGCATGGAAATGACTATAATTTGTGTGCACATGTGATGCGTCTGTGGACAGTGGTAGACTTTGGCTCCCCCTTCTGGTGGGAAGGACCATTACATGTACATTACATGGGGTCAGAAAATTCATTTCCCAGAGGAGATAAACTGAAACCGCAGCAGGTTTAATTTAGATTAATGCAAATGAAAAGCAGAACGGCATCACGAGGGAATATATGTGTAAATGCATTCTGATGCACCGGTGCGAGCCATACTGTTAAAATGAAATCTCTTATCTCTGAAAGCGGGCGTACTTCTTTATTATTAATATAGAAATAATCAAAACAGTGTTTCAGTGTTAAACAAGGTACATACACACACGTTTCCTGCAAACTGGCTTAAATATGTAGCTGCACGAACTCTAAATGCATTTTTATCTTGCTAACATAATAACAGGCCTCAGAAATTCTAGACTTTTGCAAAAAAAAAAAAGCCCAGAGGTGGATTTAAAGACTCCTTCTGGCTAAAATATGTATTTTTTTGTACCTTTCTAAGAGGTCCATTGATGTGTTTTTATTTGCTAGACGACATTACATGAGCTAAATAACCAATGAACTCCATGGATGAGTATTTACAACTGCAATACAGATTCAGACTTTCGTAGTTCTTACGTAACAAATTGAAGGAATCAAACCTGTTAACTTCCGAGGAGGAAGTTCCTGTATCCTTATACTTCTTCAGGATCAGTTTCTGGTTTGACACGTGTGGCTAAATATATTTGGATACTGTAATTTGCTAACTGTAGCTTTGCGGTGTTTGAGCAGAGTTGTAGGTGAGCTGGTGTGCTTGAGCTTCGGCGACTTTAGAGCGCTAGGTGAAGAAAGAGTTTCTTGAGGAAGTAGCTGTATAAAATGTACATTTAAGCCATTTTAAGGCAGGAAGAGATTATTTTCATGGGGGAAAAAACATCCATCCATTATCTATACACCACTTAATCCTCACGAGGGTCGCGGGGGGCTGGAGTCTATTCCAGGGTGAAGGCAGGGGACACCCTGGACAGGTCGCCAGTCTATCACAGGGCTACACTTAGAGACAGACAACCAAGCACACTCACATTCACACCTACAGACAATTTAGAATCACCAATTAACCTCAACATGTTTTTGGACCTTGTGGGAGGAAGCCGGAGAACCCGGAGAGCACACAGAAAGATTCCGATGCCCCCACTGGGACGCAAACCAGCGACCTTCTTGCTGCGAGGCAACAGTGCTAACCAACTGCGCCACCTTGCATCTAAATGTGTAATTTTGAAACACATAATTGAGTTTTTAGGGGATTTAACAATGATTGAGGAGGAAACATTAACTCTGGCTGCAATATAAACAGCAGCACCAGTTATATTATCACTCTTTAGTTTTGAAATAATATTATTTTAGTTTATAAATGTCTTATGAAATGTGTCACCACCTTTTAGCAATGTAAATACTTCTAATATTACAGTGTGTGCAGTATGTTCAGAAGGCTGCTGCTAAAACAGACGGCGCGGACTGAAATGTAGAGTCAAAACAAGCAACGCGTATATTTCTAACGCGGGATGATTTGAGGTTGTGTAAAGAAAAGCCTCAGAGAGGTGTTGACAGCTCCGTATAAACCGCTCGCAGCCACTCTCTTCATTATCAGTAAAGAAAATAACCAACAGAGGAGTCGTGCTGCTTGTTGATCTTTCCCCAGGTGATAGCAGGACGGTCTGCGGGATACGAGCTTTCGCCGACTGCTTCGTCTCCTCCGGTAAAGAGATGAATGGCTGGGTGAAAAAAAGTGTCATGAGGATGAGTCAGCCCAGAGCGACCATGTCTCTTTGTATTTGTGCAAACCAAGGCCCGATGATTCATGGGCAAAATCACGACCGTTCCTTTTTAAAGAACACGATGTATGGCAGACAGAACCTGGAAAAAAAAAAAGGTTTATTTTTGCGATTAGACATTGTTCAGGTTAAAAATACATAAGTCTGACATTTTTCATTTTTTTATTTTTTTGCTCGAGTACACGAAGTACAAAAGTGTACAATTTCTAATCCGAAACCCAACATCAAAGAACAATTGTACAACGTGTCAAGATTATGCAAGTGGAAGCGATAAAGGCAATAAGCTGTGCTGCTGCTGCTGCTGCTGCTGCTGCTGACAACCTAATATCTTTTTCTCCTCTTTGAAATGCACTTAGAGCAGCCATTACTTTGAATATGGTGATGCAGGGACGACGGCTGCCGGTGTAAATCCAACTCAGGGCCCATTTAATATAATAGCCACGTCAGATT